CCCTTCTCGAGAGCCGCCTCCGAGCGGGTCCCCATCCTGGGCTGCGGGCGGCACATACGGGGCACTGCGGAGGCGCAGGTCTGGGTGGGGCCGCCGTCTGCGCTGGTGCCCTGGGTCCCCACCGTGGATTTGGGGGCGGGGAGCCTGCTAGGGGATAATGTGCCAGGGCTTTGAGTTGGGGGGGTCCTGCAAACTCCTAGGCGAGGTGATGGAAGGCGTGTCCGTAGTGGGGAGCGGGCGAGGCCCGACGTCCTCCAGAGCCCGGGCTGGGGTCTCCACGCAGAGGGGTGCGCACTCGGCGAGGCTGGGTTTCGGGACCAAGCCTGGTTGGGAGGCTGGACCACCGTGAGAGGAAAGCTTGCGACCTGCAGCTCGGTGGGCTTCGGAAGCAGGAGAGTCCGGGAGCCGGCTGTGGGGGGCCCCAACCCCTGTTTAACCTTGGCCGGAACTTTGCGGAGTGGGGGGCGGGGAGGCGGCTGCCGGGCGTCGGGCGTCGCTGCGGCACTTTGTTTACCGGCACCTGTAGCTCAGAGGGGAAATCGGAGGCGGCTCCCAGAAGGCCTGGGGGGTGGACCGGGCCAGGGTGAGCCTGCGAGGGCGTGGCTGGGCCCCGGAAACCTGGGGGCTGGGTCCGACTACGAGGGAGACGCAGCTCGTCCTGGCGACCCCAGAAAGCTTCTTCTAGGACCCGCGTTCTTGGTCCTCAGTCCCCGGACTCCTTCCTGGGACACCCCCCACCACCACCACCGGTGCAACACAGGCTACACCGCGACCTTTGTCGTTTTCAGTCAGCTGTACGCATCCGCAAGTTCCTTAGAAATTTTCTTGAAACACCTATGCTCCCTGGGATACCCCGACACATGATGGGCAGAGGCAGAGAAATACAAGTCCAGGTGGCAGGGAAGGAGGGAGTACAAGCACCCAGGTCCCCAGGCTGGGTGGTTTGGACCTGGAGTGGGCCGTAGGTCTCCGCCTTTGGGGGAACTGGAGCCCTCTCTTGGCACCTGAAGGCCCAGCCCATCCGCCGCAGTCTCCTGGGCTGCCTAGGCAGAGGCCCAGGGCCCAGCAGTGAGAGGGTGGAGCCGGCTACCCATCCAGAACCCATGTGTCACGGGTCCAGTCCTCCCTCCGACTGGCTGACTGTTTGATCCACGGAAATGGGACTGGTGAAGGTCAGAAGGAAAAAAGATGCTTAATCAGAACAGTGAATGTTTAAAAATAAGATCCCTTCCACCTCCCTTCCTCCACCTGCTTCCAGTAGCCAGCCTGGTGGGTGAGAATAATAGCTGACTGACTGCTTGACCCCTGGCACAGGGCTGTACACCTGTCTCCCTGGATCGATGCCAACTGCTTCCCCCTTCCCGCATGCTTATCAGAAGGGAGGACCCTCGATTTGAAATTCTGCCGGACTGGCCCTCCTGGGTGCCATGCAGAGCTTTAGGGTATATATGGATGTGGGGGGCCTTAGGATTTGGTAGGGCAGATTCCTGTTAAAACCCACTGTAAGGTAGGCCTGGCTGCCAGAGACAGGGTCAGGCAGAGAAGCAGGACAAAGAAGCCCCAGGAGGGCTGGGCCAGGGGAATGTGTTAGCAGTTTTTGCAGAAAAGCAAGAAGGAGGCTGCAAGCTCAGAGCCACAGCATTGCATAACTCTAGCAGAGGCACCGTGTGAGTGGTGCCCCCTGGAGTTGTGCAGTGCACAGACTATGGCACACAGGAAACCTGCCAACACCAGTCCCATCCCTCCACTTCCAGGAGAGGCTGTACTTCCCACCCTAGTGCTGAAGGCCCGCCAGCTGGGCACAGTAGCATCCATTTTTGTACATATTTCCATCAGGCCAGTTCTTTTGAGAACACAGAAGCTTGGTTCCTCACTGGAGAGAAAGGAATTTCTTTTGAACCCCTCATGCGGCTTCAGGGTTGAGCTTGAGCCTTGTTCATGGTTCAATTGCAAGACAGCACAGGGCCCCAGTTTGGCCAGGCAGGAGCAAGAGGAGTGGGGTGTTCTCAGGGAATAGTTTAGAAGGGCTCTGAAGAGTCTTCTTAAATGGTGCTGACAGAATGGGGTGGGGGTGGGGGGCTGTCCTGGGGTTCAGGAGGGTGGAGAAGAGGATGGAAGTGCAGCGAGCCTCCCCTGTGGGATCAGGTGGAGCTGGTGAGGAGTGTGGTTGGCTTAGCGTTCTCTCTCTGAGCTCTGGGATTATGGGAGGCAGGGTTTACCAGTGGAATAATCCTCCCTCCAGCGGGCACAGTGCTCATATCCTGTGCCCAGCAGATCCCTGCAGAGGCCAGCAGGCTGCTGCCAGGGAGGAGGGCGTAATGGCTGGGAGATGGGAGGTGCTGCTGTGCTGGCTCCTGGACCTGAAAATTGAGCTGTGCCCTGCCCTGCCCTGGCCTCTTTCTCTTCTTCCTCCTCTCCTGTCTTGTCCTGTCCTGTCCTCTCCTCTCCTCTCCTTTCCTTTCTTTTCTTTTTTTTTTTTCCCTAAGACTACAAGGGATTGAACCTAGGGATGGCCTTCACACTGAGCTACCACCATAGCCCATTAAAAATTTTTTTTTTTAAATTTTGAGACAAAGCCTTGTTAAGTCACTAAATTTCCCAGGCTGGGCTTGAACTCACAATCTCCCTGCCTCAGCCTTCCAGAGTGCTGGGATCACAGGCATGGGCCACCACAGCTGACTCCAGCCCTGGCCTGCTCCCTAATGTTCCCACCTCCTAATTCTGACCCTGCAGAACAGGATGGGACCCAGAACTTCGGAACAGATCATGCGGGGCCTAGAGGAGAGAACACTGGAGAGGAGGTGGCCCCGACACAGCATCCTCAGGGCAGAGTCCCCAGAACATGGCTACAAGGAAGTGACTGTTCTCATTCTCCTTGGCTCTCCTCTACTTTGTACTCCTCCTCCACTACACTTTACTGCATCGCTGAGTGTCTAGCACTGTGCTTGGCGCGCAGAGGCACACGGTTAATGGCAGCAGACATGCCTATCTCCCAGTCCCTGCAGCAGGCACTTAGTACTCAAACCTGTGTGATTGTTCCTCTGTAGTTGCCCATTTTATGGTCAAAGAAACTGAGGCACAGAGGAATTAAGTAACTTACCTGAGGTCAAAAGCTAGGAGCTGGCAGAGCAGGGTTTGCATCCAGGTCACCAAAGTGGGCTTTGGTTTTCAGGATCCTGTGGAAGGGAAGGTCTGCCCCGGAGAACGGCTCCCCTTCCCGCAGCCCACCAGCCTCCCAGGTTCCAGGGCAGGAGCAGCACCTCCTGCTGCTAGCCTGCTCTCCGCCTGGGCCCAGGAAAACTCCAAAGGCCACTTCCCACCCAGGAAGAACTGGGGTGCAGGGTGCCAGGATGGCTTAGGCCTGGGCTCCGGTTCTGACCTGGCTCAGCTTCTGTTTCCTGCTGGGAGATGGACGGACATGAAGACTCAAACAAGGGCATCTCCTCCCAGGGCTGGAGGGCAGCGCGTGTGGGCGGTGCTCTCTCCCGCAGAAACCAGCAGATGGAGGCCATTTTCCGAGCCGGCCCACGCGTGCCTCAGTCTCTGAGCTGAGCCAAGGCGACGCTGCCTGTCTGCCATTCGCTTCCTGGTGACCCAGGGCCTCTCAGGGTATCCTTGCCTGCAGGCTGCGTGTGATTCTCGTGTTCTTAGCAGCACCAGGAACAAGTGTGAGCCACACAGAGGCTCCCTCGTGACCCCTCTCCGTCCCCATACACCTAACGCAGTGTAAGTGTGGGGACGGGCGCTCAGCACAGTTGTTTGGGGGAAAGTGTGGGTGTGTAAGAAGCCAAAAGTGGGTCAGAAAGGATTCCACAGTTGGGTTTGGGTCCTTCCCCGTCCTCCTCCTCCACTTGGGCTTCTAAAACGCCTCTCCCACTACCCAGCTGGCATCTCCAGAGTGGTGTCAGTGTTGGGAGGGACTCTTGCAGGCCTAGTGCGATTAGAAGCTTGGGAAGAGAGGCGGAGGGGAGCCTCACTGCACAGAGAGGCTGCCAGGTGCTGTGTGCTCCTCTCATCTTCCAGGAGTCTGAAGAGGGTGAAAAGCTAGCACCACTCCATTCATTTTCCAGGGGGTCAGAGGCAGGGATGTGGGAGTTTGGGGAGAAGGGTACTCGTACTCTGCTCTTCCTGTGAGAGGAGAGACCGGCTGTGTGACTTTCATACAGCTGCTTTACCTCTCTGGGCCTTGAGTTTTCTGTGGGTATAATGGGCAAGCTAAACAAAATGATCCACAGAGCGCCGGGGATTTAACTCAGTGGTTCCAGTGCCTGTCTCACAAGCACAAGGTCCTGAGTTCAATCCCTGGTACCAAAATGATTGACAGAGCCCCAGCCCTCTGTGACTCAGGGAAGATGACTCATGAGCCTGTCAGCAGCCCTTCCAGCCAGTCCTGCCTCACCCTGCCACCCCACGACCACCACCACCGCAGACCAAGACCCCTGAGCCCCAGGAAGGAACTGTGGCCTGGTCAGGGTTGGCTATGTATGGTCTGAAGACAGAATCCTGAGAAACAGGGCCTTCTGGCGTCTGGGGCAAACTCCAGGCTGGGGCACACATGCCAGGCACCTTCGTCACTTCGGGCAGCTGTGACATCATACTGGAGAAGAGGTGACTTCAGCAAGAGAAATGTGTGGCTTATACTTCTGGGACCACAGAGCCCACAGTCCAAGCACTGGCAGATTTGGTAGTGGCAGTCTTCTGTGTGTCCTCACAGGGCAGGGAGGTCAAGCACTGCTCTCTTCTTCTAAGGATATTGATCCCAGCCAGGTGTGATGGTGCACACCTGTGATCCCAACACTCGGGAGTCTGATGCAGGAGCATCTCTGTGGGTTCGAGGCCAGCCTGGGCTACATAGTGAGTTTAAGACCAGTCTGAATTACATAACGAGAACCCGCCTCAAAAAGGGCACTTATCCCATCCTCACCCTTATGACCACATCTGAATTTAATAATCTCCCAAAGGCCCACCTCATACCAGGACATCAGGGTTAGGGCCTCAGCAGAGGAATTTGGGGGGCACAGACGTATCATCTCTGAGGATGTTTGTGCACAATTCCCTCAAGGAAGCTGTGGGCTTCCTGTGTTCCCCAGGGTGAGGCGGTGAGAATGGGGTGGGGGCAGAGCTCTGCTCTAAGCGGTGCTGGTTCTTGGGGGCTGTCTCCTCCTCTTTCTGAAGAGGAGGACTTATGAAGTTGGGGCAGACGCTACTAGAACCAGTCTCCTGACTTCCCTTCCGGGATAGGGATGAGTGAGGGCAGGAAACCGTCCCCCGCCATTCTGTCCTTAGTTTGCCACACGGCAGGCCAGCCACCTCTCAGACCCGTGGGTGGGGAGATAGGGTCCCGTGGTGGAGAACAGTCGTGTCCCCAAGGCCTTCTCCTTCCTGCCTCTTTTTGCGGGGGCCAGGGGTTGAATCAGGGTCCTCCTATGCAGTTCTGGCTGACCTGGAACTCACTGTGTAGCCTAGGTTGGCCTCAAACTCCAGTGATCCTCCTGCCTCAGCCTCCCAAGGGCTGGGATTACAGGTGTGTATCACCATGCCTGACTTTCTGAGCTTCAGAACAGATGATGTTGAGATGCCAGTGAAGTCATAGGAGGTCAGGTCTGGGTGCTGGGTGGGTGTTGGCAGGACATACCTGAGCCCAGGCTGGCACGCAGGCCGGGATGATAAGCACATTTTTGCCCTCTCAGGAAATTCCTTGGAGGGAGAAGACGTGGGGGAGGGAGTCTCCTTCAGTGTTCTGGACCTTACACAGGGCCTGCACCACCCCTCTGAGAAAAGACAGGCATTTGATGCTCAGCCTCAGCACTCTGCCTGGGTGTGACAGGCACCAGGCCCCATGGCTCCTGCTCAGCCCTCCTGGTTCTAGGCTGGTCCACCCAAGTGGCAGTGGTTCTTTTCCCAGGAGGGCAGGAGAACGTTCAACACCAAGTCCCCAGCCCTGGCATGGGCTCCATCACAGGCTCCTGGCCTCAAGAAGGAGAGAAATAACAGCAGGTACAGGACCTCTTGGAGGCTGGGTGAGGTCTGGCCCACTTATATTTTTAGACATTCTCAATCTATGAAGAAAACGAAGAAGGTGCCATAATAGGGTTACAAAGACAGCATCTTGCTAAGACCTAAACTGCTCTGGCTGGGCTCAAACTCGCAGTCCTCCTGCCTCAGCCTCTCTGAGTGATGGGGCTACAGGTGTGTGCCGGCACACCCAGCTCTGCTTTGTGCCATTTTTCTTTTTATTAGTACATAATGATAACATTCCCTGTGGGGAGTTGGCACATCTCAGTGCTTCTTTCGTTCCCCTCCTGGTTTGTCTTTAAAGCACAGAGATTTGCAGTTTGCAGAACCCACTGTCACACATTACTTACGCCCCGGCCCACCCGCCTGGTCATCTCGCAGTGCAGGGGACCACAAGAGGACAGAATCTATGCAGGGCCAGGGCCTCCCTTGCTGGCAGCAAAGTGGGAACTCAGCACCCCGGCCCCAACACTGCAGCAGAAGCCGGCGGAGCTCCGCCCGGCTGGGGCTTCACCCCTAAGCCAGGGCCTTGGGGCTGCTCTTCCCCTGCTCTGGTCCACTGCCGGCCCCGCCCACAGCAGGTGGGCAGCTGGGAGAGATCGGTTTAATTTAAACTGTGAAGTGAGCCGGTGATTTGGGTGCTAATTAAAATGACAGGAAGTAAACAGCCTTGGAAACACCCCGCATGCACCCCATCCCGCTGGGCCTGCGCACTGGCCGGCTCTCGCCCAGCTTGGCGCAGTGGGCTCGTCTCCATGGCGACCGAGCTGCGCCGCAGAGATCAAAGTAGGAGATGGGTTAGCGCCAAACCAGCTGAACCCCGGGTGGTGAAGCGATTCTGGAAAGAACCTGGAGCAGGGAGGCCCTTGGGTGGCTTCCTCCTCCACCACCTGTCCCTGCTGTCCTGGCTGCTGAACTCCTGCCTTAGGCTGGAGCAGAGCTGATGTAGAAGAAACCACTCTTACGCTGGGATTGGGCCTCCACGGATATGGAGGCTGGTTAGGGGCATGGATTCTGGAATCACAGATCTGAGTACAAGTATTCTGCTGAACAATTGCTGTGTGATCCTTTATAAGTCACTCAACCTCCCTGAGCCTCACTGTTATCACCTGAAAAATGAGGATAGCCCTACTATTCTCTTGGAGTTGCTGAAGAGTAAAGAAGACACTGAATGGAAGTGATTAGCATGATTTCTCCTATGTGGTCCTTGAATTCACTGTGTAGCTCAGGCTGGTCTTGAACTTGTGATGATTCTCCTACCTCAGCCTGAGATTACAGGCATGCACCTTAATAGCCCTGGCTCCAGAAATGGCCATCTAAATAAGGCAGAATGAAGCAAAAGTGGGTGTTACCAGAGCAGTAATACACTTCCACTAGTACAGCCAGCCTGAAGGGTAAGTAGGCATGGGACAGGGCTGGGAAGGTGATACCTAGCTGGGTTTTGAAGGATGTCTAGGAGTAATACATGCTCAAGATGGAGGAAGTGGCTTTGCAGAGGTGCCAGGTGCTGACATCTACTGGGGGATTTGGGGCAGCTGGGAACCAATGAAAACTTTGCCTCCTTCTGTAGGTAGCATGGAACAAGGAAGGGGTTGTAAAATCTAGCATTTGTTATTTTTCCCCTTTACTGTAAAAGTAATATATGTTCACTGTAGAAATTTTGGAAACGGGAAAAAGCAGAAAGATGCCAAAATGCTGTGTATCTCTGCCCTGCAGGGGTAACCACAGTTAAACATTTCTTTCATCTACCCACTTTTTTTGTTTTGTTTTGGTTTTGAGACAGGTTCTCTCTAGGCAACCCAGGCTGGCCTCAAAATCAGGGCAATCCTCCTGCCTCAGCCTTCCTAGTGCTAGATTATAGGCATGCGCCTCCACACCTATTCCCTTTGTAAACCCCCCCCCCCATGAAAGCGAGCTGCTCAGGGAGGTCTCAAATTGGATTCAGCCTCAGAGGTGTGAGGGGTGTGGGGGGGCGGCCACCAGGGGGCGCTGCAGTGATGAAGTGCTGGTGGGTTTCTTGGCGAGGGGAGCGCTGGCTGCAGAGTCTTGAGACCTGGGGAGGGCTTTGCTCCTGTCATGTGCAGAGAGCAGAGAGACCCTAATATGTACATCCTGGAATGGGGGACCAGGAGGCCTGGCCCACTTCATCTGTGACCTCTGGCTGCTCTCTGTGTCTCTGTTTTCTCACTTTTTATGCTATTGATACAAAATACTTGGAGAGGGACTGACTTAATTTGTCTTCTTGAGACAGGGTTTTGCTATATAGCCCAGCCTGGCCTTGAACTCACAGCGATCCATTTGCCTCAGCCTCCCCAGTCAGTGCTGTGATCATGGGCGTGCCCCACCATGCCTGGCCTTGGACTGATCTAAGCCATGGTCATTCCTGAGTTCCAGAACTTTCTCTCCCCTGTCTGTTCTGTGGTTCCCGCTGGTTGTACTGACCTGATGGGATACACGTGCTCCTCTGGCAGGCGAGAACTCTGGGTCCTGAGACCCATCTCCCCAGGACACTGGAGCAGGGCTCCTGAGGACCCCTTCTGTTGGGTGAGGGGTGAGGACTGTGGACTGCAGAGCCAGCCTGTGAGCGGCCTCTTGTTTCCCGAGATGTGGGTGCCATTACTGCCATTTCTCACAGTGGCTCATGAGTCCACAAGGGCGCCCTATATAGACCTGGCTGCCTGGTTCACACTTGCTGACAAGCACCTCTTTTTCACCCTAGAGCTGCTGGTGCTGGCCCCCACCTGACCTCCAGGGCCGCTAAGTGTGTCCCTGGGCTGGGCCCCAGAATGGCCATTCCCATACTACCCGCCCCACTGTGGATCCCTGCTGTCCCGGGGGCCTCTCTTGCCCCTCATCTTTCATCTCTCCCCACTTCCTCCACCTGAACCTTTGGACTCTTGCTGCCGTGTTGGCTTTGGTTCGTGGTGTGCTCCTTCCCGTGTCTCCCTGGGGCTCTGGGCATTGCCAGGAGGGAAGGACTGAGCTCCTCCAGGCAGCGGAAGCTGGCATCAGGCACCACCCCAGGGCTTCCGTCCTGTGGCTGGCTGCTGCCACTCTCCTGGGAGTGAGGGTGCTGGGATCCAGAGTCACAACTGTGTGGCACCGTGGGACACACAAGCTTAGCCAGACCCAGGGACATGCTCCCCCGACACCTACATCAGGGAGTAGAGCTGGGATCCTTGGGAGCCACTGGTCTCTCAGAAGTCCCATCCCACCCTTCCTGCCCCCCTGATTTTCTAATTGGAAATCTGCAGTCCTGACCTGGGAGAACCCATTTTGTCCAGAGCCCCAAGACTCCCAGCGAGGGCTGGCTGGAGGGGAAGGACTGAGCCGCCTGAGGCCCTTCCCTGCCCTGATCTTGGTGGGGAAGGCAGCTGACTCGCCCTCTTCATACCCTCCGGCCTCCCTCCCAGAGACTTGTGGGAGCAGAGGGAGAGACCCCAGTGGGTGGAGGCCGCCTCTACTTTTGCCCCTCCTTGTAACGCTGGCTTCAGCCCCTTGGCCGCTCTGGCCTCTGTTGCCCACCACCCCTCACCCTGGGCTGCTCCTGGAGGAGAAGGGCTGGGCCTAGCTGGCTTCTTCTGGCCCTGAGCAGATGGACCCTTGAGCCTGCTGCCTCCAAAGTTTGCCTGCAGCCCCGGGGCTCAATTCAAGTCCAGGGGCGAAAATAGGCCTGTGGGGCTCCAGGAAGCCCGTTCTGAGCCTCTTCCTGCCTGCTCCCAGGCCCAAGGCTGCAGGGCACTGGCTGCTTAGATGTGTCCTGGGGGCCAGCGGTGGCCAGCAGTGGCCAGTATGAGGGGTAGAGAGAGGCTAAATGCGAGGCAGGGATGACCTAGGGGCAGGCAGAACTGCACAGGCCTGACCCTCCTGGGGAGAAGCCTGCTGTTCCCAGCCCCTTACTCCCACCCCAGCCAAGTCTCTTGCTGCCACCCCATAATGGAGGAAGCCGCAGAAAGGCTGCACCCGAAGGCGCACCACAACACCTGCTGTGAAAACTGGAGGCCGCTCACAGACGTAGGTTTTGTTGCTTCATTTCTGATAAAAGCCATCTGGCACTGGTGGGCTGCCTCACACGGGCACCCTGGTTTTCACATGCTGTGCACATGTGCGCATGAGTACACGTTCTCTTGGGTAAGGACGTGCGCACGTGTGTTCACATGTGTCCCGTGATGCAATATGCATCGGGCACACACCTGTTCACAGTGCTCTGGCTCCATGAGACAATTGCCTGCCCAGCTCTGGCCCTTTCTGGCCTTCATCCCAGAGGGGGACCTTGTGCATCCCTGCCTGCCCTGAGATTTGCCAGCTTCCAGGGGAAGCTGCAGAGGCCTTGAGCTTCCAAAGCACCTAGGAGCCCTGCCCTGTCCTCACTGCTGCCCAGATAGCCCTTGGGCGCCTTCTTCCCCCAGGCCTGACAGCCAAGCATCAGTTCCTGCCCACCCTTGCCCTGCAGTGTGGCCCCTGGCCCACATGCTGCATCTCTCTGATGACGTGGGGCGGGACTCAGAATGAAGGGCGGCTGTGCCCCTCTCCCCTGCCTCCCACATGGAGGAGGTTGGCAGCTGGACCCTTGGCACTGAAGCCCCTGGCCCGCAGGAACCCTTGCCTGCCTGGCCCAGCTTCCCCCAAGGCAGCCTGGGAGCTATGTGCTGGCTTTCAGTGACTCTCCATCCCACAGGGGAAGGGGAGGAATTAAGAAGCGCTGGAGTTTTGTGGCTGGAATCTAGGCCAGGTGGGAAGTCCTCTGCCTCTGGCAAGGCTGGGGTCCCCACCACAGTATAAATGGAGCGGGGTGGGTCTCCATGAGCCTTAGGTCTCAGAGACCTTGTGACGTAGCAGGAGGAGAGGTCTGTGCGGGGCCTTGGAGGCCTGGCTGCTGTGTTGCAGCAGCCCTTTGGGCTCCTCAGATGTGTGTCCTGGTGTTGGGGCCAGAGCCGGCTGGTGTGTGTCACCCTGCAGAAGCCATACCCCGCCCCCCGCTGCCCCCAGGGCCGGCCTAAAGCTGTCTGTGATGAAGATGCAGGAATACTGGCTTTTGTAACAGAGATTAGCTCTGTCACCTCATGCGCTGAGGGCCCCCCACTGATATCCTGTCTCTCTCCCTGTCTCCCCTGCACACGTCTGTACCTGCTGCCCTGTCTCATCTGCAGGAGGTGGAGGTGAGTACCGTGGAGTCCCGGGGCCTGTGGGTTCCCTGGAGCTGCAGCCCCCACCTTGATCCATCAGCAACCTCACCCCAGCTTCTTCCCTGCCAGCATCCAGTGTGGGGTGAGGAGGATGAGGCCCTTTCAGGAGGGGCCGGGACTCTGGGTGGGAGTTTAGGGGACAGAGGTATGGGGCGTCAGAGGTCATCTGAGCAGCCACCAGGATAGCGACAATTCATGTGTGGACACAGTGGCCAGGGCCTGTCCTCTCCAGCATGGTGCAGGGGAGCTGGCTCTGGGATGCAGATCTTTGCCCTCCCTGTCCCCACCCTCTCTGTCCTTCTCTAGGATGATTACATCAAGAGCTGGGAGGACAGTCAGCAAGGAGATGAAGGTAACACGTCCTTCCCAGCCAGGGGAGGAGTCAGAAACCCATGAAGAGCGAGACCAGTGGACAAGGCCTGGCTTTGGCTTGGGGCTCCTCGAGCAGCCAGGCCCCAAGGGGCTACAGAGGCTGCTGGAGGGAGGGGCCTCCCAGCTCAGAAGCAGGGTGGGGGCCCCTGGGTTCTCCCAGGTGACCTGTGTCCTCACACCGTGTCCCTGCAGCCCTGGACACCACCAAGGACCCCTGCCAGAAGGTGAAGTGCAGCCGCCACAAGGTGTGCATCGCCCAGGGCTACCAGCGGGCCATGTGCATCAGCCGCAAGAAGCTGGAGCACAGGTGAGGCCCCGGGGGCCCCATCGGGGTCTGCTCCACAGGGCAGGGGTCTGCTGACCTGTCCCTGCATTAGTGCCTATTGCTGCCCCCAAACTTAATGGCTTAACACAACCATTGTGTGTCATCTTCCATGCTTTCTGAGGGCCAGGAAGCCAGGAGTTGAATTGTTTTGTCTGTGGTGAGGTCTGAGTCATGGCACAGCTCTGCATATCTCAGGGCTGACTGGGCTGGAGGAGTCACTTCTGAGTCTCTCCCATGGCTGCTGGTTGGAGGCCTCAGCTCCTAATCACATGAACCTCTCTGTAGGGATGCTTGCCTGTCCTCAACATGGACAGTATGGCATCTGCTTCCCAGAAAGCGAGTCATCAAGAGAGAGTGTATTAGTCAGCTTTTCCATCTCCGAGACAAAGTCCCTGACACCTGAGACTTAGAGGATTATTTTGGCTTATAGTTTCAGTGGGTTCAGTCCATGGCTGGCTGACTCCAAGGCAGAAGCAGCACGGCAGAGGAAAACTGCTCACCCCACTGTGGTCAGGGAGCAGAGGGCAAAGGGAGGAGCCAGGGACAAGCCCCGGTGACCTACCTCCGACCAGGTCCCATCTTCTAACACTACATTCAGCTATATGTGAATGTACAGTGGGTGAGTCCACTGTAGTGTACAGTGCACCCATGATCCACTTTCCACACACATGAGACTTTTGGGGGGCATTTGAGTCCTAAACTATAACAGGGAGCAAGAAGGAAATCACTCCTCAGAAAACTATTCCCAGATGCCAGGGGAAGTCCCACCTCCTCTGTCAGCCTGGGTATCTGTGTCTTAAGACAAATAGGTTGTTAGACCAAATGATTTAAGGTTTCTTTTCCCCCAAACATGCAGTGATTTAAGGAAATAGTTAAGGTTGTAGCTTCTGAGGCTTACAGAGGAGGAGGGGGTGAGGGATATTTGAGGAGGCCTTAGCTCCAGGCCAAGGGCAAGGCCCGGCCTGGCTGCAAGACCCCAGGAACAGCTCTCATTTCCCTCCCCTTTCCTGAATGCAGTCAAGATTTATATTGTTAGATGCCTTCGGGTCTGGCATCTAGCAAGATAGGCCTGCTGGGAAGGGGGCCGCTGCTTCTCTATGTGAAAATTCAGGACTGGACCCCTACATCCTCTGTTTTTCTTAGGCAGCTCACCAACCCTGGGTTTTTTGGTAAACTCTCCCATTATGCAAATATTGGCAGATAACTCTGTTTACAAAACAACAATAACTACCCTTCCTGGTCAGACAAAATCAGCCTGCAGGTGAGATGGGACCCATGGCACTACAGATTTATGACCTCTGACTTAGGTTGATCCCTTGCGTGATGTGAAACTCCTTTTACCTCTTGCAGTCAGAGCTAGCTTTGCTCCCCAGAGGTCTCACTGGACTCTGGAAAAGGGCAGGCTGCAGTTTGGGCCCTGCCCAGCTGGTTCCACCCTTATGAGCCGGAGGAGGGTATAGCTTGGGGCAACGGGCGCGGGCAGGAGGACAGAGGCACCGACCTGGTGTAGTCTGCCCGCCAGCCTCTTATTGGAACAGGACTCCCGGACCTTCTCCCATCCCTTTCTCATTTTTATCTCCTCCGCATCTCTCCACCCTTTTTCTATAGGATCAAGCAGCCCACCCTGAAACTCCACGGGAACAAAGACTCCATCTGCAAACCCTGTCACATGGCCCAGCTGGCCTCCGTCTGCGGCACTGACGGCCACACCTACAGCTCAGTGGTGAGGAGCGGCCCCAGATGGGGCCACAGGGAGCAGAAGGGACAGCTCAGCTGGGGCCTCCCCAGGGTTCCCCCTGACTCATGTGGGTGGCCTGAGCATTCAGTGCAACCAAGCTGCTGGACATGGGAGCCCTGGCCAGGGTGATGGGGGGACCATGTCCTTGACCATGGGCAGGTGCAGGCAGGGCAGAAGAGACACGGGGTGGGTAACTGTGGGTGGAGTAAGTGAGGTAAGAGCCTGTCGGGAGTATGGAGTGCTCTGGAAGGAAGAACCTCTGCTGACCAGGTTCTGGGGTGAAGAGGGTGACTTCCACATGGAGGCCAGTGTGCCCCCAAGTGGCCAGAGCACCCTGGCAGCAGGACATGATTCTCCCTGGGAAGATGGTGTGGGAAAGAACTGTGACCTAGGGAATCTCTTTTGGGATTTTTGTGAGACATGAGGTGATATTTGCAAAAGCCTTTTACACACTTCAGAGTACCACAGAGTGCGGGTGCTAATCACGAATGCTTCTGTGAGGAGAAGTTGAGGTTGCTTGGCAGGCACTGGCACTTGGTTAGGCTTGGGTTCCAGGGCTTGGGGGCCCTCTTGGGATGAAGAGTCAGCGGAACAGGGGTGGCGGCACACAGCTGTAATCGCTGCACTCTGGGAGGCTAAGGCAGGAGGATGGCAAATTGGAGTCCAGTCTGAGTAATCTGACAAGCCCCATCTCAAAATGCGGGGAGGGCTGGGATACAGCTCAGTGTGAAGGTCCTGGGTTCAATCCTCAGTACCACAGAATGGACAGATCAGTAAATGAGCGGCTGTGGTGACAAGGTGACAATTTCAGTTGCCAAATTCAGGGGTACGTGGTCACCCAAGGGAAGAGAGAAGAGAAAGAAGGAGCAAGAGGCCTGGGCAGAGACGGCACATAGGCGGCCAGAGGGCCACGAGGGAGACAGAGCTGACAGGGAAGGGGAGGATGGTGAGGGCTCGTGTCCCATCCCAATGGGCAGGAAGCGCAGTTTAAGGTCACCTTGTTGTAGGGAGGTGCAGGTCTTCAGTAGGTCTGGCTTCTGTCCCTTCCCCGTGGCCCAGGCAGGTCACTGGGCCTTGCTGTTCTCAGCTGAGCACAGGGCTGGGAACGGAGGGTGGTAATGTATAAAATGCTACAATGCTATGAGACCAAGGACTGCTCCCCAGGTGCAGGCACCCAGAAGGCGAAGTGGACAGGGCAGGGAGAGAGTCTCAGAGCAGGCCCAGCCAACAGAGGACAGAGGGCAGAGAGCCACTGGGGAGGGCAGGAGTCCATCGGTAGTGGCTGCTGCTTATGGAGAGAACTGAGGACAGGGCCCCTGCAGGAAAGCTGGGGAGACCCGGGAAGGAGGGACTGCAGGACAGGGAGGAGGAAGGGGAGGATTACTGAGACAGGGGAGGTGGACGGCAGGGAGGGACCAACACTCAGAGAGGCCTGCAGGGTCAGTGGGGCCACAGCAGTCTGCATAGCAAGGACTGGTCCCCGCCCCCGCCTGGGCCCCCACACCTCACCTCCATGCACCCTTGGTCCCCAGAGGAAGACGGTGGGAGGCCCGGGGGCACCCCAGCTGTGGGGATTGGACTGGGGACGGGGCACCCCACCCCAGCCCGCCTTTCTCTGCAGTGTAAGCTGGAGCAGCAGGCCTGCCTCAGCAACAAGCAGCTGGCGGTGAGATGCCAGGGTCCCTGCCCCTGCCCCACAGAGCAGGCTGCCGCCTCCACCACCGACGGCAAGTCAGGTAACCAGCGTGCCGGCTGAGGGTCACCCTGCGGGGCCCCAGCACCTCCTTCGGGCTGCAGGATGATAGCAGAGGTTTTCAGAGCCGGAGGGAGGAGAAAGGCCTGAAGGACTATGAGGTTCCGGGGTCGGGTGACCGAGCGGGCCTGTCTCAGCCCTCTGCTCTCCCCGTGGCTGGCTGGACCCCGAGGTGATGGCGGGACTTAGCCACAGGAAGCCTATGCAACACTGTCAGAGCTGGGATGGAGTGAGGGTGGAGGAGACAGGACGGGAGAGGAAGCCCCCGCCTTCTGCCTCCTCTTCTGCTAGGTCCCTTACCATTGCACAGCCTCCCTGCCTGGAGGCCAGGACCCCACCCTGAGACCAGGCTGCTGTTTCACCCCCCAACTCACCCTCTGTCCCCCTGTCTGTGCTGCTCACTGCAGACACCTGCACAGGCCAGGACCTGGCCGACCTGGGGGATCGGCTGCGGGACTGGTTCCAGCTCCTTCACGAAAACTCCAAGCAGAACAGCTCAGCCAGCGGTGCAGCCAGCCCAGCCGGAGGTACAGGAGTGGGTGGGTCGGGGCCAAGGTGACGGGTGTGCACCAGCCAGCCCACCCTCGCTCCTTCCTGCCTAAGCCCACAGGAAGAGTGATCAGCATCAGTTAGAGCTAGAGAATGGGAAGGCCTTAAAATGTGGAGGAGCTGCGCGTGGTGGCACACACCTGTGATCCCAGCACTCTGGGAGGCTGAGGCAGGAGGATGACAAGCTCAAGCAGAGCCTCGGCAAACTCAGCAACGCTCTGTCTCAAACAATAAAAAGAGCTGAGGATGTCGCTCAGTGCTACAGCATTTAATCCTTAGTACCAAAACAAAAACAAAAAGACAAAACAAGAAAACATGGGTTGGGAGAGCTCAGACTGCAAATCAGTAGCCAAAAGAAAGTAAAGCGCTCCTTATTTCTGGGCAGCGGGGTCAGAGTGGGGTGCTGCGCAGTGGTAGAACATTCGCCTCTTGTACTCAGGGTTTGATCCCCGGGACCACAGAAACACAGAGAAGGGCTTTCGGAATAGGATTTGGGTGGTTTAGAGGTAGTGCTGTTGTTCAGTAGGGGAAGGACCTTGGCCATTCTTGAGTTTCTATGGTTAGATTCCAGACTGCCTAACCCTACCAAGAGGTCTAGGACTGAGAACGAAGACGAGGCAGAGGGACAGACGGTGTAGTGTGTCTGAATCCTGGTCTTCTCCCCAGGGCTGGACAAGAGCCTGGGGGCCAGCTGCAAGGATGCCATCGGCTGGATGTTCTCCAAGCTGGACACAAGTGCCGACCTCTTCCTAGACCAGAGTGAGCTTGCCGCCATCAACCTGGACAAGTATGAGATCTGCATCCGCCCCTTCTTCAACTCCTGCGACACCTACAAGGATGGCCGAGTCTCCACCGCTGAGTGGTGCTTTTGCTTCTGGAGGGAAAGTAAGCAGCCGGGGCCCTGCAGGCTCTGCCCTCGCTCTGGCTCTGGGCTTCCCTGGGAGTCAGCACAGCTGCCTCCCGAGGGGCCCCCAAGTCCCAGTCTGAGCTGCCCACCCCTTGCACCCTCAAAGGGCTTTGCATCTCAGAGCCCAGGAGCCATCATGGGGCTCCCTTTCTCGGCGGGCCCCAGGGGATCTGCGTTTTTGTGGGTCCTGAAGCTTAAGCACTTTGAAATGCCTTTTAGGGCCCCTCTGAGGGCCAGAGAGGGGCCATGGGAGTGAAGGTCTTAGAGCTGAAGCTGCATTCGCTGCTCAGTGGCTCCGCTTCCGGGCACATCTCGCATCCTGTGCTCCGACTACTGCATAGGTGATCATTGCCCTTAAATCTGTGGTAAGCTTTGTTAGCTTCATCTGCCCAGAGCCAGAGGAGTGGGACGTGTGCTTAGAGGCAAGTGTCGCTGATGGGGAAACTGAGGTCCCCAGAGGTCAAGTGACCTGCCCGGCCAGGAGCCGGAGTAGGCAGTGTCCTGCCCCCTGGCCATCGTGTGTAAAAGTAGTGAAGAGCCCATGGCCAGAGTCCGAGGCTAGGGCTCCACCTTGTGCTAGTAATCAGCCTGAGAAGTGACCAAAGTGTTCAGAGTTCAGTTTCTTCTTCTGAATTGGGAAATGGCATTACCTACCTCAGAGATTGATGTGAGGAGAAACGGAGAGAATCTGGGTGCAGAGCCCAAGAAATACTCTGTGAATGTAAGCATGTGGATTGGTCTTGTACCCTGAGCTGCCAGCTGACCTGCCGGGCACCACCCCAGCCAGCCTTGCTCATTCCATGCTTTCCACAGAGCCCTTCCTGGGCAGGGACTGGGACTGTCCCTGCTGCTGCACAGCCAGGTAGGCTCCCAAGGTGGCAGGCAGGCGAGCAGGAGCTTGGCCGCTGGTTATTTTTGGCTGGGAGCTCTAACAGCCACTAGTCTTATGCTGCCCAGGGTCTCCAACTGGGGGTGTCTGTGTCCCCACTCCATCCCCTCTTCTGACTCCTGTTGTCTCATTCCATGGATCCCAACACCCTCAGAGAACCTTAAGCTTCCTGGGGCCCTCAGCCCATCCCACAGCCTCAGCGGCCTCCCCTAATTAGAGCTGGAGTGTTTTCATCCCACTGAGGCCTTCCTCTGGTTTGGGGACTTCAGAGGGACCAGTGCATCCCACCAGCGCCCTGGGGTGGCCCCACATCAAAGACTGGGTGTTTCATCCTGCCAGGGCCCTGCTGGGGTTCCTGAGCCTCGGGAGGCTCTTGTGGGCACCGTGGGATGGCCCCGCAGGCTGCCTCTCTCCCCACAGAGCCCCCCTGCCTGGCAGAGCTGGAGCGCATCCAGATCCAGGAGGCTGTCAAGAAGAAGCCAGGTGAGGGGCGGGCCAGGCATGCAGAGGAGGAGGTGGGGAGGCTGCCCTGAGCCCCTGAGACACAGGCTCCAGGTCCTGGACCTCAGGGAAGGCAGTGAGCCCAGAGGAAGCCCTGGCCCAGCACGGAAGGGAAATGCCCTTCTTGGTTTTTCTTGTTTTTGGTGGCAGTGGGGATTGAACCTAGAGCCTTCACACAGTGTCATCCCTGGCCCCCTTTTTATCTTTTATTTAGAGACAGGGTCTCACTAAGTTATTAAGTTACCCTAGCTGGTCTTAAACATACAATTCTCCTGCCTCAGCCTCCTAGAGTGCTGGGATCCCAGGTGTACACCTCCTAGCTGGTCTTAAACATACAATTCTCCTGCCTCAGCCTCCTAGAGTGCTGGGATCCCAGGTGCACACCACAATGTTTCTTCCTGTTTAACTTCCTGTGGTGGGCCAGTGTCTCTTCATCTGCCACTCAGCCAGTGTGTTTTAAGCATGAGTTTTAGCTGGAGATTTAGCTCAGTGGTGCTGCTGCCTGCCTCATAAGTGCAAGGTCCCAAGTATGATCCCTGGTACAAAAAAAAAAAAAGAAGAAGAACCAAAAGAATGAAGTTTATGGCTCTCTGTGTGGGGGCTGAAGGTTGGGGTACAGAGCAGCCCTAGAACCTTCCATTCAGTTCACATAAGCAAGCCTGTGTGGAGCTTGAGTGGGCCTCACCAGGGAGGTGCTCATGAATACTTTGGGGAGACAGACGAGCAAACCCAGCCTGGGCCAGACCCATGAGCAAGTCGGGTGAGGTCCCTGTCCTTGTGAGGCCTTGGTTAACCGAGGAAGACAGAAGGGTCGACTGTGACTTGTGTGTGGGTGCTGAGGGGTCAGCAGAAGCTCCCGGGGAGCCGATGCTCCAGGGGAGACCTGAGGGAGGAGAATGAGTCAGACAAGTGCTAAGTCAAGAGCAGGAACAAGCTCAGAGTTCTCGGAAAACAGAAGAAAAGGATGCATGAGCCTGGAGTGTGGTGGTTGAGGGCACAGAGATCGGAGAGGCAGGTCTTGCAGGGCCTTGTAGCTCCTTGAGAGCAGCCTGATATCTGACAGGGCCCATGATACCAGCACACTTAGGACCCAGCAGGGAAGCACCCACAAGTCATGTTGATTGCAGGCTCGGTGGCCTTGAGGCCCGTCGTGAGCTCCAACTTAGCCAGGAAGCAGTCATCTGTCATCTGCCCCTCACTGGGCCCCGTGGTGGGTGGGCATAGAAGCAGAATTGTAAGGGTCTAAGGGAAGGGAGTGGGCCCCTAAGGCAGGTCCAACTCAGGAGGCCTAGGGGAGAAGCCCAGGCTTTCCAGGTTGGGGGCAGGCAGACCAGGGGAGCAGCAGAGGGGTGGAGAGGGTGATAGCAGACCAGGCATCGCTGCACCGGGAGGGAGTGGTTCAGAAAAGCAGGGTTTCTACTTTCTGGTCAGGAGGGCTGGGAGAAATGAGCCCTGGGTGTCTGGGTTTGTGGAGGGGTCAGTGCTGCACGGGCCAGGCTCTGGGGCTGTCCGGTCCCTGCACAAGCCTAAGCTCTGAGGCTGCCACTGTCCCATCCAGGCATCTTCATCCCGAGCTGTGACGAGGACGGCTACTACCGCAAGATGCAGTGTGACCAGAGCAGCGGCGACTGCTGGTGTGTGGACCAGCTCGGCCTAGAGCTCACCGGCACCCGCACACACGGGAGCCCCGACTGTGGTGAGGCCCCTGGGGGCCACGTGGGGCGGGCTGCGGGGCACAGGGTGGAGAGCAGGTCCCTTAGCGGCCCGCCCCTGGCTTGTTGCCCTTTCAGATGACATCGTGGGTTTCTCGGGGGACTTTGGGAGTGGTGTCGGCTGGGAGGACGAGGAGGAGAAGGAGCTGGAAGAAGCAGGTGAAGAGGCTGAGGAGGAAGAGGGCGAGGCGGGCGAGGCTGACGATGGAGGCTACATCTGGTAGATGGTCCCGGGGCTGTGGCAGGCCAGGTTGCCAATGGCCAGCAGAAGCCTGGACAGCAGCGGGCGGCTTATCGAATGACTGAAAGTTAGCCGGAAGGACCCTGGCTCAGGGGGAGGATCAGAAGTAGGAGTGTACAGCTCGCGTGTGGAGCGTGCGGCTGGGACGTGTGTGTGTGTGTGTGTGTGTGTGTGTGTGTGTGTGTGTGTTAGCATGTGCTGACAAACGTGTCCTGGGTCCACAACACTGATCCTGGCAGAGTGAGTCATCCAAAGGCCCCAAAATGCTTCCTTGTCTTTGTTTTCTTTCCATGTGTCAATTTTAAAATGCACATATTCTCACACTGACAGGTCAAAAACAGTGAAATAAGATGCTCCCAGTCCTGCCCGACCTGCCCACCCCAATCTCCTGCGGACCCCACCAGCCCTGCCTCCTCCCGCCCCCATCCACCTTTAGAGTCCCAGGGGAGGGAGGGCAAGAAGCTGATTGCATGGAGCTGGTGTGAGACTCCCCCAGCCACAGTAAGCCCTGGCCCTCTGTTGGTCCCCCTCCTCCGGGCCCCAAGCACTAGCGAAAGTCCCCACAGCCCAGCTGGAGTGACCAGAGGTGACTGGGAAGGAGCTAGAGGCAGAGATGATGAGGCAGGAAAAAGCCAACCAGGTCCTTCCCACTGGAGGGGTGGAGCAGGTGGGGAGCAAGGTGAGCTCAGAGAGGGTAGGTTCCAGGCAGAGCCTTGGGAGTAGCTATGGTGCAGCTTTGAACCCCAGACCCTGGGACAGCCAGACCAGCTCCTCCCTGTGAGTCTCCTGTGGGCCACGGTACAGGCCACTGGTTGCCTGGGAGCTTGGGGCTGGGATTATGCAGTGGAGCCCTGCCTGGGTCCCCTGTGGAGCAGCTCAGTGTAGGGAGTATTGCTCCTGCCTCTGTCCCTTGCTGGTGTCCTCCTTGTCCTCTTCAGGGAGCTGGAAGGCTAGGAGCAGCACCTCCCTGACCTGACACGTTCTCCTGTCTAGACCAATGGACATGTATCCCTGGGACCCTGTGAAGGAGACATAGTTGGGAGGTGCCACCTTTCTGCTGTCAGGGCTTGATGATCCTCTCCACCTCGCAGCCTGGGATGGACTCCATGTCCATCCCAGCCCCGCTCCTCTGGCTCCCCGAGGGTCCCTCAAGGCTACCCAAGCTCTGTTGTGAAGCGCTCTTGTGCGAACATCAGTGAGAAGGCAGCCCCATAGCCGCACCACACTTTCCCCCAAACCTCCTGATTGGGCAGGGGGTCATCTTACCCACATAAGGAGATGCCCCGTGGTTTTCTGTTTGTGCATTTGCTGTTGTTTTCCCCAGTTTGTCAAGTTCTCCCTGTCAAGTCAAATTCCCTAATACCTTTGGTGAACTCTTTCTTACCTGGATATGGGCCTCTGGGAGAGTGCAATGTGTGTTTGAATGGGTGTGCATTGGTGTGCGTGTGTGTGTGTGTGTGTGTGTGGGTGTGTGGACCTGGGGCCATCATGGTGGCCTCCTAGAGCGGAGAGGATGAATGGCTGCATGAGGTCCATGTGCCTGGCTCTCCCAGCATCCACTGAGGCTGAGTGCTGTTGGACGTCATGGAAGAGCCTCACCCATTCGCCCCTTTCCTCCACCCTGGAAGCCACATCTCTGGAGCCCTCACTTGGGGGAAATAACGAAACTCCACCTTAGACCCATAAAGCGCTTCTCATCCCGCAGCACAGTTCTGATTGTTGAGGTGTCGCGCTATTCCAGACCCTGGCCCTGTCCTCCTCCCCTCCCCTTCCAGTCCCCTGGGCCCCTTCCTCTGGTCTCCTGGTCAGTCACATCTGCCCTCTGCTCTCCAGACAGCCGCTCTTCTGACTCGAGCTATCTGAACTTCCTGCTCTCACTGGGATGGGAGTGTGTCTCTTTCTCTGCTCCAGTGGGACTTCCAGAACTGTCGGGAGGGCAGCTGAGAAGGATGCTGGGCTCCCTGGGGTGGTTAGGGGCAGAGGAAAGGGCATCCTTCCTCTTCTCACCATCATCCTCCTCTCCTGGGGGGTTGTGCTCTGTGTCTCTGGGTCTTCCGGTTGTGCACATTTATCTGATCTTGTAAATGTGATTTAGGAGGAAAGTAAAGGGCATTGAACTAGCCCCTGGTGGGCCGGCAGGGGTCCAGGCTTGACCTGTCTCTGAAGCTCCTACTGCTTTGTACCCCACTGAGACGGCCCCCCAAAGGCAGATGAAAGCAGTTGTTCCCAACAAGGCTGAAGGCCTCGAGTGACTTCTTGTTAGACAAGTGTAAGTTTCTCACAGCGAGGTTGCAAGTTGGCCCCCCAGCCCTATGGATTTATGCCCTTGACCTAGCTGCTGTCCCAGCCCCTGCCAGCTGCTCTACACGGAACTCCTTGCCCTTTCCTGCTTCCTGAGCTTAGGCAGGCAGGAACTGTAGAACTGCGTTGAAAAGAGCTCAACCAAATAGAGAACCACGACTCGCGTGGTCCCAGACCTCCTTGGTGCAAGGATGCAGGAAAAGATGGGGTAGGTGGGGACTGGAGAAAATGTGTCGTGAGAGACCACTCAGAGTCTGAGGGTAATGGAGAAGGGGCGTGGCCCAGAGAGTTTAGGAAGCAAGCCAAGTTAGTGAGAGGGCGATGGGACACCTTGACTGCCCCCTAGTGTTCCACCGTGGTTGTGACCAATCAGGGTGGTGGCCCCGCTTCCTTCCGGCTCCAGCCTGCCTGATTTATTGGGCAGGCCACACATTCGCCCTTTCAAGATCTCTGTCTGCTTCCAAATTCACCTTAGAGTAGGCGGGGTCCAATGGTACCTAAACCGGAACTCTCCATTTCACCAAAGCCTGAGCCCTCAGCGCTTTGGGGAGGACGAGTGGGTAGTCATCGACACCCCAGGGTCACCGTGGGGCCGCGGCTGGCGGGGTCCCAGGGAAGAGACACTGGGGGCACAAAAGGAGACTGGAGACATCCTAAGGAACTCCCAAGCAGAGCCAACTGCTTTATAGCCTGCAGCCTACTCAAACTGTGTGACGTGCAATAACTGAGCTTAGAGTTAAGAATTGTGTTCAAGTGCTTGGGTTTCCGTCTGTAGATTTAAGTGCTGAAATCGTATCTCTCGGTAATCTTAGATGTCTTTTTAAAAAATCGAGAAACAAAGTGTTAGACCTATGTGTGCGCGATGGGCACTCAAGCGTCCCTGGATCACCCCACCCTCTTCTTCCCCTGTACCCCGTCCCCTCACACCCCACCTCCCCTGCCCCCCACTTGGGGACCCCGCCTTGTGTCGTCTTTGTGTCTGCCTATTAGCCTAAGGAAACAAGTACACTCCACACACGCATAAAGGAAATCAAATGTTATTTTTAAGAAAATGGAAAATAAAACTTTATAAACCACCTGCTGGCAATTCTTCCTCTTGATGTTTTCACAAAAACAGTATCCACAAGTGACCACAAGGACACCCTGTGGCCCCATCTGGATTTGCATATTTGCTGTCACACAGGAGATTGCAGGGAGAGCAGGGCTGGGGTGGGGGGATGCCCCAATTTATCCAGGGAGGATATGGAACAATTTAAAAATATTTTGCTATTATTGCAAATTTGCAAGCCATATTGGTACCTATACCAGTAAATACATCTACATCTCTAACACAAAGCAGAGACAAAACCATGTCATTCTTTCTTCATTTAGCGTGTTAGGAACCTTTCCTCTGTGTTATTAAATCTGAGGGCTTGACTTTAACAAGAACGCCGTGGCCTGCAATATGGATACATTCTGAAGAATTTAGCCAACTGCCTATTTTTGAACATTCATACTCTTGATCTGAACAGTGCTCTGGTGGGCTCAGGGCTCGGGGCCCATTTGGGATTATTTCTCAGACCAGATTGCCAGAAGTAGAACGGTTGAAGGGAAGGATATGGTTTTTGCTTTCTTTTTGAATTGTGGTAGAATACACACAATAGAAAGTTACCATTTAACATGCAATTCAGTGACATGTATTACATTTGCAGTGTTTAACAACTATCACCACGGTCTAGTTCCGGAACTCCCATCCAGGGTCTAACCTCTGTTAGAAGTGCTGGAGAGCAAACGGGGGGCCTCCAGCATGGTAGGCAAAGTGTTCTACCACTGTGCTGCACCCCTGGCCCCGGGGTAGGAGCTTTTTAAAGACTTTACATTTCACCGAATTGCTTTTCAGAAAGGTCAGACCATTAGAGGTGACCCTTTCCCAGCTTATGGGAGAACTGTATCGAGGTCCTTTTATACTTCCCGCCTTTATGAATTCTGATTTTTAAAAGCTTGGCCAGTTTGGCAGGAGAATAACCATGTGTTAATTTTATTTTGTTGATTAATAGAACCAAAGGACAGTTACCGCTCTCCTCTGACTTAGGCTCACAGGGCTTCCTGCTATGGACCCTTCAAAGGCCTGTAAAGGCTCCGTCCTCACCTTGCCATGCTGTGGGGAGGTGGTCAAACCTTTAAAAGGCGGGGCTGAGGGTGAAGTTCCGGCTCATTGGGGGCGTGGCCTGTGCCTCGCAGCTATATGTGCGTAGTTTCCTCCACCATAAGTAAGCACCTTAGTGGATGAATTTGCTGCTTTGCCACAGGCCCCAAAGCAACATGCCCATGGACTGAAAGCTCTGAAATCATGAGGCAAACTCTTTCCCTCCCTTTTTTTTTTTTATTTTTGTTTTACTATGTAGCCCAAACTGGCCTCGAGCTCACAGTGATCCTGGCGAGTGCAGAGATCACAGGCAGGTGCCACCACGCTAAACCCTTTCCCTCCTACTAGGTGTATCTCAGGTATTTGTTACATGATGGGAAGCTGACTGACATAGTATTTACCCTCACTAGACGCATCTTCTTTTAGCCAATCCTTTTGCAAGGAAGGTGTGGGGTATAGAGGCAGACTCATGACTTCCAAACTCTGACTGTAGGGCTTGCTAACTGTGACCTTGGACAAGTCATTGGATGGGTGGAGAGAATAACCCAGCTCACGGGACCCCTGTAACATGAAAGAGGGCCTTCAAAATAGAAAAGCAAGCCTGGTGGACAAGTCCTGGGTGCCCTGGGTTTCCCGGACTGATCAGGGCTGCCTCAGGAAGGGATGTGACCTCCTGTGGGTGGTTTTGTTCTTCGCTGAAGCTTTTATTGCCCTCAGCAAGGTCAGCCTCAGAGCCCGTTGTCTTCCTGGAAGGAGGTGTGAGGAGGGAAGTGATATCCTGAGGAGCTACTCCCAGCTACAGGATGGAGGAGGAAGTGGGTGGGATGGGAATGGGAAGTCCTTAGAAGTGCTTTCACTTGCTGGGCTTCTGGAAACCTGTGGTTCTGAAAGTCGAGGAGCTGTGTGGTGTGGAGGCTTAAGGTTGAATCAGTGGCTCACTTTACTAGCATACAAAGCCCTCCTGTTACTGGGAAATAATACCAACAATCGAACACTCACTATGCTCAAGACCCTATGCCGAGGAATCACCTTGTATCAGCTCAGGAGGTAGCGCTGTTAGTAAAGCCCTTTCTGCAGATGAAGAAACTGAGTCTCATGTTCAGGTTGGCTATGGATACACTGCTGGTGAGGGCTATTTTGCCGCCACCACAAAGCAGGCTGTATCTGTGCCCGGTTACTGGACTCTTTGTGTGGGCCTTGGGCACCTGGAGGAGGAGGAAGGGAAAGGTCACCTGCCCAGTTTAACTCTGGTTTCCTGGGGAAAAAGATTTAAGCCAGGCCCATGGATGGAAGGAATGACGTAGTGGCTCAACTCTAGCTGAATGTTGGAAGCATTTGGCAGATTCTAGGCCCACCCTCAGAGAGTGATTCTGTTGTTCTGGGTTGAGACCAAATGAAGCTGAAATGCTGCCAGGTGCCTGAGACCCAGGCTGGCCGAACAAGAAGAGAAGGTCCCACCGGTGGGACAGGACGTGCAAGAGGCCAGGGCAGGGCGGAGCCTGGAAGGAGAGAGGACGGTGTGAAGCCAGGAGGCCAGGTCAGGGGCGGGAAGGCTCTGGCAGTTCCCTGGTAGGGAGAGTTCTGCTTTAGTGCTTCTCCAACATCTTGTCAGTCACCAGCCCAGGCCCCGGAGCTGCGCTGTTGCGTAGTGTTGTCTAGGTTTATTTTTTCTTTTACTTCTTTAGACTGAGCCCAGGGCCTTCACATTGAGCTACATCTACAGCTCTTTTTATTTTTTGTTTTGAGTAGGATCTCCCTAAGTGTCCCAGGCTGTGCTTGAACTTGTTTGATCCTCAGCCTCCTAGAGAGCCCAGTACCTTCTGAGCAGCTTGTAGATGCAGCGGCCTGCCAAGGGAGCCCCAGGCTACCCCCACGGAAACCCTTGGAATGAGTGTCCCTGAACTGCAGGGAACTGTTGGCTTTTGCACTTGGCAGTCAACATGTGTTCAGGCGACGGGGAGCTAGAGGCCAGGTGGGGCCCTGGCTTCTGGAACAATCCACCCACTGTTACTGTATCCCAGCAGCCTGGATTTCCAGGGTCCCTTGGGAAAGCAGAATGGTGCAGGGACAGACCCAGGTGCTGACTGCAGCAAAGGTGCGGCTGGGGCCACGTAGGAAGCTGTCTGCAGGGACCCAGCTGCACGGTGCTCACACCCACCCCTGCTCTTCAGCATCCTCCCCTCCCTCCCTCACCTCAGGCCCCCCTGGTCCTAGCACCTCCTGGGGACAGGGCCTCTATATGGACTCCCTTCAGTGACTAACTGGGGCCTAGAATGAATGGCACACAATCCAGACAGGTAGCCTTCCCCTCCCCTGCCAGGAGATCTCTGCCCGTACCTGATTGCTGCACACCTTTCCCTTCTCAGAGAGGGCTATGTTTCACCCAAAAC